ATGTTTGAATCCAATCTCATCCGTCATAATTAATGCACATCGGTATTAATAACAGCGTTAAAATGGTTGAGAACAATGCATAAATGAAAAATCATACGATTTTTTAAAGTTACAAAACAACATTTCATGTATTTTATTGCAAGCAATTGTTATGCGTCTTTACCTTCGAAAGGTTCAGGAGAAAGGAATGTGAATAACAAACCCGACCTTTTATATACTACACTTCATGTGTCAACCGAACCCGACCCTTAAAAGCCAACGTTCAAATAACAAATTCTTGGGACCTATAAACTAGGATATAGGTCCCTTCAAATATACTTTTCTCGTAAAATAAAGGCATCTATTTTGTATACACAAATAGATGCTATTAATTCTGATAATGAACATTATGCATGTACAATATTTCTGAACAAATATATACATTCTAATGCAACTATTTCATGTTACATTTATCTATAATAAAAACATATGATTATCAATTAATCACCTGTTTATGGAACAAGGCTAACTCAACATAGTTCTCTGAATATGTCTGGTGTAATACATATCAACTGTAAATAATAATTCAACTATATAACTTCAAAATACATAATCAAGTCACATCAATGAAATTGATAACTGATATTTGTAAATTACCAAGATCAAATGATAAAAGTAAGAGAAAGATACTTTACAATCAAATCAACTGAATTTACTCATGAATGATAGAAAATGCATAAATTAGATAATTTACAGAAATATTAAATAAGAAATTAATTAAGATAATTAAATATAGAGTGCACTTACTATCTGTCAGTAGTCAGTATATCTGGTCATTCTAGATTACTAAATATGGCAGACTCCATATAGATACAGTCTCTGACAAATTAATTGGATTTCCCTCTAAGAAATCTAACTTTGTAATGAACAAAGGCAGTTCACCAAAAGCGGGAAACTACATAATATAAATCTATTGGCTCCTAAAACCACATGACATGAATCACATGTCTGAAAATGACCACGTACATAGGTAAAATAGCCATAGGCATTAATTGAATAAGTCAACTAATGATCAATGTGTAGCACAATAAAAGAACCAAGGGAGAATAGGGCAATACAGGAATGTGTATCCAATTGTGTTTCAACTCATATCTATACAAAATGATGATGATGTTGTAAATGATGTAGATGATGATCAAGTGAAATAATAATAAAATCAAGAAACACAATATTCCTATGATATCATTTATTAATCATAAATATATAGAAAATATCACCCTATTACAGTAGGAATGTGTTAATCGTTAGACATTTGACACTTACATGTATCCATATCTTTATTTATGTGTCATCAACCCCGTTATTAAATCAGACAATGCAAAAATATATATACTCCTGATATATGTATTTTATTTAATATTTAGAAAGTCATAATATAAGTTGAAGTATATCTTGCTGATCAAAAATCCAATGATTATTTAAATTTCCTTTAATATATAAAACAATCTTTCTTGCTTTATAATTTAATCAAATGTCTCATTTGTTATAAATATATTAAACGATTTCTTGATGGTAAAACCATAATAAAGGGGAGTAATCAAATGTTGAACCCGCTTTTGATTGGCTAATCTGGATCTTGAATCTCGAAACTTGAATTTCGAATCTCGTATTTTGAACCTCGAATCTCGAATGAGCCTTCTGGGCTTTCGGACATTCGAGATTCAAGTTTCGAAATACGAGATTCGAAATTCGAGTTTCGAAATTCAAGATCCAAACTAACCAATCAGAAGCGGGTTCAACATTTGATTACTCCCTTTTGTTATGTTTTTACTATCAAGAAATCGTTGAATATATTTATATCAAATGGGTCATTTGCTAAAATGATAATGCAGGAAAAAATGTTTTATGTATTAAAATGAAATAAAAATAAAATTTGGATTACATTTTGAAAAATACATGTATAATTTTATTTTTCTCATTGAACAAAGTAGTAAATACGTATATATGGAATATTATACGGTCTTATCGTTGACTTGCGCAACAAGTATGTCGACTATTTTGATTTATCAGATCATTGCTTCAGGGAGAATATTATATTTGATTATAATTAGATAAGAAATACTAGTACTATGAATCGTCTCTATACTGCACAGTTATTCAAGGGTATATATTTCATTACATTTATAAAGGGTACATTTTAGACTTGGCTGCTGAATCGAACTGTAGCGTTATAAGGTGTCACAAGTATATTTTAGTCTTTGGTCATAACGGTATGGTCAGAGACTAAAATTTAAAACCATAACGCTATAGTTCTGCATCTAATTTAGACCCATCTTCTATTGATATAAAATAAAATAAATGCCGCATTCATTTTAATTTATATTGCAAATCTGTATTGTATATACGATTTTTAATTAATTCAAGAAATCAAAGCCTTAGATGAAGATAAGTAATTAAATACTTAATTTTTTTATGTATTTCCTCTATCAGGAAAACGAACGCGATTTTTGTTTTTCAATGCTACGTCGCCTTTCAGGTTTTACAAAGTAACATTTTCAGTGTGTTTGAAAAAAATAGGCAGGCGAGGTGGGTAGGGGTAGGGTTATAGTTTATCTTTAGACACTTGAAACTTATTCATAACTTTATTTATATGTCATCAACCCCGGAAACAAAGAAAACAATTCAAAAATATATATACTCCTGATATATGTATTCTATTTAATATTTAAGAAGCCATAATATAAATTGAAGTATATCTTGCTGATCAAAAATCCAATGATTATTTAAATTTCCTTCTAATATATATAATCCTCTTTCTTGCATTGTAATTTAATCAAATGACTCATTTGTTATGAATATATTAAACGATTTCTTGATAGTAAAAACATGATAAACGGGAGTAATCAAATGTTGAATCCCCTTTTGATTGGTTAGTCTGGATCTTGAATCTCGAAACTCGGATTTTGAATCTCGAATTTCGAATCTCGTATTTCGAAATTCGAATCTCGAATGAGCCTTCTGGGCTTTCGTAGGTTTGTGCACTTTTTAAACTCACTTGGGTTTCACACAAATTATGTCACATTGATACAATGCAATATTGTGCAACAAGGCACCAACACATATTTTAAAAGTGATTGTTTTACTTATTGCAATTTTATTTCACAAACACAAACAGAAATATGTCTTTTATTAAATTGTTGATGAACTTAGTTAAGGATACCATTTTCATTTTATAATCCATTTCTTCAACTCTTGCAATTAATCGCCTTTCCTGCAAAGCTAGTATCAAGAAGATACTTTCTTGATTATCAATAATTTTTTGTTTTGCCTAAACGCAAACGCAGTACAGGTCCTGTTATTTGTATTTTCTGTACATTAATCTCACTGACTCTATAACGCAAGATGATAAAAGAATTTCTCATATGTTCGACTGAATTCTATGTTTAAAAGACGTTTTTCTGAAATCTAACTTTATTAGAGATCTGTCACACTGCAAAATTTTCAATGTTTCAAAAATTAAAAGATAGCCAATGCTTCTTTCTTCCCACCTTTTGGCATGGTTTCTTTCTGCAGTATTGTGAGTCCCTTTCCGGCGCTACATTTCAACAAAACGAAGACAAAAATTGTAAAACAGCAAATTCCTTAGATAAATACTGATTTTTAAGGAGTCAAATTAGAAATTCAACCAAAGAGTATCAAAAATGTCGATTTTTTTTTTGTAATTACCTATGATCATTATTGTATCGACCATAGAACCTACGAAATGATGACTTTAAACACACATGATATTCTTGTTTCATCAACTTGTTTGTCATTAATTTACCTCGTTTAAGAAATTGATCATATATCGTTCGGTTCTATTGTCGTACTGAATTTCGATAATGTTAATTTTTATTACAAGAAGAAATTGACCTAAGTTTGTGCAAAAAATCATGCTTAAAAAGTGCGCGGAACTGTGTGAAAATTAGCGACATCAATCAACCAAACTTGTAAAAGATTTATTAGGACCCGACACTCCAAACCACACTTATAGTAGATATGTTTTTGCATAATGCAGATTACTTTGATTTAAATTATGCAAGTAGTTGTAAAGTGTTTCGGCTCTTAAGTAGCCTTATCAGGGGTCACAGACATAAATCATAATGTTCATTTAAGGTGAGACCTGATTATCTCTTCACCTATGTTGTTGTGTTTGCTGTAAACTATGATTGGTTTAGAATTGAATGAAGCTGTGCATTCTGGATTTCTAAGAATGGTATTCCAATATTTCAGAATCCGTTTTTTCAGTCCTTTAATGCAAGGGTTAAATTTAGTAACCAGTACTTTAGGGTTACGTAACAGTTGCTCTTTAGTTTGAGATTTATTAGGACCCGACACTCTAAACTACAGTCCTTTAACGCATTCTCCTTTGATGAATCCTTTAAACACAGCTGGGCTATGAGCGCTCTGTCTGTGTAGGTACTGAAAGTTATTTGTTGGTTTGATAAACGACTTGATATCCAGTTAAAATTTTGAAATTTGAGTCCTTTGTAAACTGTACTATCAAGGAAGTTCACAGTAGATGGAAAGATTTCAAATGTAAATCTTAGATGCTTGTGACAGTGATTGGCAATGTTACAGAATTCTTCTATCTCTGGTTGCGTTCCATTGAATATTATAAAACCATCATCACGGTATCTGCCGTGGAAGAAAATTTTGCTTGCATGGTGGAATTGTGCCATTATATGCTCTGTGATTTGATACATTCTGATGTCACAGATCTCTGGACTTGGGATTGCACCCATGCTGGCTCCTATAATGTTTTTGTAATATTTTCCGTCAAATTCAAAGTAATTGTATTCCAAGACACATTTAAGTACGAAGGTTAGATCCTTAGGGTTAGGATATGGTATGTCTAAATCTATTTTATTGGCCTGTGTGTAAGCTTCATTCATGATGAGAAGTGAATCCCATGAGCATCATTGTGCTAAATCTTGAATGCACTAATTTTTGTATTGTATGTTTATGTGTTGTATTTTCAGTGCTTTGGTCTTCATGGTCGTCGTGGTCATCATGCCCAGCTGACTGCACAACACAAAATCTACAGAGGAGTCAATCGTGTCAAAAGCATTCGGGGTATAGTTGCGGAACAGCTCCGTCACAATCCATATCCTGCCTTCAGATCGGCTGTACATGTAAATATTATGATGATACTCTCAGAGGTCGTTTTTAGGCACAATAAATTTATTGACGATATGACAAATTTTGCAATTCGCAACCTCAGGGCTCACAGCCAGCTACATGTGGTACCTTTAGTTTTGATTACTGTTATTATGTTCGTCATACAAGTGTCATTGCAGAGGCCGAAATTGGCAAATTTACATACAAAGGGTATTATTTTTCATTTTAAAAACAGTCTTTTAGTAGAGTTGCTGGCATCGAATTTCTAGAAGACTATCTACATAGAGCTTATAAAGAGCAAAATATTATAGTAAAAAATGAATACTTCCACTATTTTGATTTTTGCGAATATTTAAAAACTTAAGTTCACTTTTTAACAGCTTCCTCAGAAAGAAGCTTAAATACACCAGACAACAGAACTTACGTCAGTCTGACATCCAGTTGTTTACTAGCCGAGGGGAGGACATTTCTAACCTTCAGAGCAAGAGCAAACAATGACTTTCAGATTGCCATCGGTACCGACGATTGTGACAACTGTGGTACACATTATGAAATCATTTTTGGGGGATGGGCAAATACCAGATCTGTCATCAGGTATGGTATAGGTGGTACTGAATGTGATTCATATTCCCAAACTATTCTGAATCAAACCTTCTTCGACAATTTCTGGATTTCATGGGAAGGGAATTATATCCAAGCAGGCGAGGGCGGTACGGTCGGCATCAACATAATCTTGAATTGTACTCGTTCCACTCCTTTTGATGTCAAATATATCTATATAAGGACAGGTTGGGGTTCAAGCGGTGAATGGAGATTTCCAAACGGTTTGTAAACAAAGAAATATTATCTTTTTAATGTATTTCTCTATAGTTCCTTATTGACATCATTTAAGTAATGTTTAGAAGTACAAAGTTAAATAAGATTTCAAAAGGACCAGGTTCCGTTTATAGCCAATATGTGTTTAATACTCATATGAAGCAGAATTCCTTATAGTTAACTTTCCGTGATTTTCAGCTGAACATTCAGATATATTACCGACGTTTTATTGATAAGCATTAGCTATTTCCATTTATATGTGACTCGGTATATTCCACTGAGTCTGACACATCTGTTTCTTATGTACATGATTTAATTTAGTCCAACACTACAAGAAATAACTAGTGAAAGTCACTCAGAAGACTAGCAAATTTACCGTCCATACAATCACTACCTCAAAAGTAGTTTTACTAGACATTGGGTTGATTTACTCGATAACATTAGTAAATCTAGAATGTATAAGTAACTTTCACTAGGTATATCTACGATCCCTACTCTACTTTTCACTATCTAAGCTAATGAACAGAATGATTACATATCATGACGAACGCTTTACTAGGCACACAAGTTGAATTACAATGTAATTAGGTATTTCTTTCAGTGAACTAACAATTTAAGCATTTGAAAAACGATATAATTTCAGTTTTTCCATCATATTACTTATATACTATTATTGTACACATATGGTGCTTGGCAGCGCACTTTGAAGTGCGTTGAATTTGACACAAAAATCAACACACTTTGAAAAAAAAATTCTAAGTGGGTTAAATTTGAGAAAAATTTGAGAAAAGCTCAACGCACTGGATTGAGGGACCTTCTACCTATCTTTTCTTTATTCTCGTTGAGGAAAGACAAATTCATCAAAGAAACGTTCTTTATTACTAAAGTCTAGGTCCAGAACATTTTGTTTGATACTTATTTTTTTAAAGTGAGTTAAGTGTCTCAGTGGTAAAATAAATTGTATATTGATGTATATTCTTTACGCATTTTTAACAAATTTCACAACTCTTAAACTTTCTTACCAAAATATTACATATGTATTTATTTACATAACTGGTATGACGTTAATGTATTTTCTTTCAAAAAAAGTTAACGTAAAAAAAATTTAAAAATTAAGATATTACGCTTTCCTAAAAAGAAATAGTTGAGTACCATTTAAAAAAAAGAGGCTCGGGGACCATATCGTTGGCCAAAGTAACAATAGCTTACTGACTACACTATGACCAAAGTGGCTTCCTAAAACCAAAGACATATTATTCAAAAAATAAAACAACTTGTATAAATATATTAATATTTTTTCATCTGTATTAATCATAGGTGTGTGCAGGATTTGTTTTCCGTTCAGTTAATTCGAAAAACAAGAGCTAGGTCAGCGAACACGTACTACCAATTTCTTATAAATATGCAAGAAATTTACAAATATATTAATGATGAAAGGAATTCGACATTTTGTAAAATTATATGATCGATATAGCAACATTGTTGCAAATGCACCAATAGGTTAAATGTTGACTAAACTTTTTTTGTAAAAATCGTTGAGCAATCATTTTCACACAGGTTTAAGAAATACTTTTGACAGATCATAGCAAAGAGCACACGGTAGCTGTGTCTGTTTGATATGGAAAGCTAACTCTTCCATAACACATGATTTTATCTTTGATATTTCAGGTGACACAAATGGAGATAACTAACAATATTCCAGATCAAAAGTCCATAAAACAATACAAAATTGGAGCAGAGCAAACACGGACCTCCAAAATATTAGAGGTTGGATCAGGTGCCACGGAGGAGTGAGCATCCCCTGCCGACCGGTTACACCCGCCGTGTGCACCTTGTCATAATCGGGAAATAACGGAAAAATCCGTCGTCAATTCAGTATATAAATAACGGACTAACAATATTACTAAGAAAAGCCTCAGTCAGTATTTGACTCAATGATAAAATATATTTGCCGACAAGGTCATTGTATCGACCATAGAACTTACGAAATGATGACTTTAAAAGAGGCTACTGAAATTCTTGTTTTATCAACTTGTTTGTCAATAATTTACTTCGTTTTAGAAATTGCTCATACGTAGACCATGCTCTTGCGTATCTAATCATGTAATGAGATATGTAAACTCCGTATGCTGGTGATGAAGGTATATTGCTGCATAAATAAGGGAAGTTGGCGATAGAAAAATTAAATTACAATTAACGTCTTTTTCAAGTAAAAATGTGAAACAGATGTCTAAGACTCTATTGTATCTTTTATCTCAAGTTTACTAGGATATATCGTGTCGACATAGGAATGGAAATTACCATTGTTAATTGACAGTAGGTTTTGTTGTGCCACGACCCTATATTGTTCTCATGGACTTTTGACCGTGTTTATTTTATTTCATAATTATATTGCATATACTATGTATCATCTATCTATGTGTCATTAACCATTTCTATCGAATTCCGTCGCAGCAGCATAGGTAATATTGTTATCTAGGTACTTTATACAGGGAAATTTTCACCCCCGTTTTATTTTCGCACCTTTCGTCCTACTCTCATTTGGGCGAATTTGAAACGGTGCGAATTCAAAGAATACAGTATAATTTCTTAAATTAAACTTGACTGGGCGAATAAAAAATGGGGCAAAATTGTCAGCAAGTGTGAATGGGCGAAAATAACCCTGTATACATTTTTTTACGGGAAACATCCAATTAAATGAACTGCCTTGCGGAAGAGATATAATAAAAGTAATCTCCAAAGACATTTACGTTAATATTTCTAGCGCTTCAATCAACATGGATGTATCCACCAAATAGCACACCATCCCATAATCTTATATAGCGTTAGAAATTAATCTGATTTGAAAAAAAATCGAATTTTGAATCAATAGTCTACATATTTTCTATTATATACATATTACTTCAGTATTATTCCCGTCGAGCAGCGAATTTTCTGTTAAGAGAAAATTCAAATGAATTACATACCTTGTAGCTGGTTCTACACGTTTTTCAATATTTCCTGAGCATGAAAAAAAGCACACGGCAGATGTGACCGGTTGACAGGCGTTGCTCGCTCCTCTATGGCACCTGATCCAACCTCTGATGTTTCGGAGGTCCGTGTTTTCTCTGCTCCTATTTCATGTATTTTGTATTGTTGTACGGATTTTTGATCTGGAATACTCTTTGTTATTTCCATATGTTTCATTTCATTAGTATGCCACAGGCCCCAATACCTGTCTTTTACAGAAAATGCAGGTTTTTTTAACGTGTATGCTAATAAAAAGTAGAGATAAAACTAAATATTTTTTTAATCAAACATGTACTTATACATGATTTTTTTTCTCTAGATGTCGCGTGCACCCATGAATTAAACAGTAACGTGAACGTTTCCACAAGTTCTACAGGTTGTAATGGAGTCAGCACTTACGGATGTAACTCAGGATACAAACAGGTTGCTGGGAACACACAACGCACATGTTACGGAAAGTTCTGGACGGGATACCCGTTTGTCTGTTCCGGTCAGGATTTTACTTTTATCTTTTTATGTTGACTTACACTGATTGAAAGATTATACTACAGGTTTCTCAAACAAACAAAAAATGAGATTCGTGTTTCACTCAATTAGTTAACAGTGGTGTAAGGAAACCACTTAGCATAATAAACAATGGAAAGTGTTACATTTTAGAAAGGTTAAAATTCCTTCCTCAAATCCTTAATTTGTTTTTTTTTTTTTTTTTTTTGTTTATGCACATACCAGGTATTAAACCCTGATTCCACTCTATTTGTTGTTATCAAAATACTTTCCGATTTTATTATCATTGCCGTCCCATAATCTATTATTGGACTGGCAATTATCATTAGTTCATTACCGTACGGATATAGGTAAATTTTTAGACTGCAAGAACAAGGGCATGACGTCACAGTCATGTTTAAATTTTTAGCTCACCTGAGCCGAAGGCACAAATGAACTTTCCTGCTCAAATTTTATCCGGCTTACATCTGTCTATCTGTAAACTTTTTCTCATTTTCGACTTGTTCTTAAGAATCACTGAGCCAATATCAACCAAACTTACCACAAAGTATCCTTGGATACTTGTTTGTTTAAACGAAAGGCTTTACACTTTTTCAATGGGAGATACTGCAGTAGTTAGGAAAATGTGACAAAATAATAACATCTTTTAAAAATCGTCTCAAGAACCTCTGGGCCAGGAAAAAAATTAAACTTATGTGGAAAAAAAATCCTCGGGTAGTGTAGATTCAAGTTTGTTCAAATCATGACCCCGGGGGTAGGGTGGGGTCACAATGGACCAAAAAAGTTTACATGAAAATACATTGGAAAATTCTTTAAAACTCTTCTTCTCAAAAATAGCAAAGCCATAATTGGTCATATTTATATAGAAAAAGTCTTTTCAAATCATGACCACACGTGGTAGAGTAGGGCCACAAAGGGCGAGATTAAAGTTTAATACAGTAATACATAGGAACACTCTTTTAAACAGCAAATCCATGATTGATCTTAAAGATAGCATCCCTAGGTAGTGTTGATTCAAGTTTGTTCAAGTCATTGCCCCGTGGGGTAAAGTGGGCCAGAATGGGGGATCAAAGTTTTATATTGGAATTTTTTTTCTTAAGAACAGAAAAACCATGAATAGTCATATTTATATGGAGACACCCTTAAGTATTGTAGAATCAAACTGTTTAAAATGAGGCCCCAGATCTGAACTCTTTCAATTTGAGCTACCCTTAGAATTCTACTAAAATCTACTCGCGAAAATGCGAACTGTACATAGCTGAAACATTCGCATAATCTTGAATTCATATTTATACAATTTTTGAACAGTGAATAGTACATTTGATGAACAGAATCAGAGCCCTGATGTAATTTCAAACACCATTATCATCGCCGTCGTCGTCGTTATTGTATCTCTGTTGGTAGGAACCACTGTATCCGTCCTAGTGTATAAAAGATTCATCAATCGTCAGAATAAAGGTAAACTTATCCACTTTCATTTTTGAATCAAAAAAGGTAACATATCTAGAGATGGATTTTTCTCAATACTAAGAAATTCAAAAAAAAAAAAATAATGATAATAACGATAAAAAAATAAAATATTTACAATTACTGTTGTGGATGATTTAAACTTTCTTATGATGTCTTCGAATACTTGTACTGAATTACTTATAATTCTCATCATTCTGTGACAGCTTTAATTTAACCATATATATCTTATACGCAGTATTTATTAATGGTTTAACTTTCTTAAAAGTAAACGAATCTTGTAGAGATTATTGAATATTTATCATATTTTTTATTACTGCAGAAAATTAAGAATGATAAGATAACAAACAATTATGATTTTAATAAGGATTTAGATATAAGAAGGACCCCTTAGTAAGATTATTTATTTAAACGATTTATTTGTTTATGCATACATATTATCAAAATCAGGATGCATAGGAAAGATCTTTCCTTTTGCAACGTAACCTGTTTGATCCAATATTATTGCAAAATGTGATTTATCAAATTTATTTAGTATTTAAAGAGCTTTAACAATGTTATTCACATCTTCTTGTTATTATTTCAGTTAGACGACTCGCTGTAAGGTAATGAATAATATTACTACTACTACTACTACTACTACTACTACTACTGCTACTATTACTACTACTACTACTATTACTACTACTTATATTACTACTACTACTACTGCTGCTACTATTACTACTGCTGCTACTATTACTACTACTACTACTACTATTACTACTAGTAGTACTACTGCTACTACTACTACCACTACTACTACTGATCCCTTATGCGTATTTCTATTTATCAATATTATTTCTATGAAATATCATATTTTTTTTATTTTCAGCTCACAGGGCCAACAAAATAATTAGCCAAGCGTCTTTGTAATGGGTTCCATCAGTGCAAAGTCTTTGTTTCGTGAAATGTTTTAATTAGACAGAAAAAATAAACACATGTCGTTTTCTTATTGGAATTCAAATTGTGATACGCAAATTATAAATGCTTATCAGTTTCATGTATGACAACTTAGGTGGCATGATAAACGTAGAAAAATATTAAATTATTACATATAGTTCATCCGTTTCTGTTTTTACTAGTAATTCTTTCTTATCAATACAGAATTTGTCTGGGGAATATGGCTTCATCAATATTGGTTGGGATTGGTTATATCTTATTGCTGAGATGTCATAACTAAAGATCTTTGACATAATTTATAAAATGTGTTATTAGAAAAAAAAACTTCCTCCAATCCTTTGGAATTCGATTGGCACTTCTTTATTTTGCGATTTTTTTTCTATTCGTTTTACGCAGAAGTAATTAAATACCTTCTGCATGAGAAAAGGAAAACGCTGGCCTTCATCTCGATATCCAGGTATATTGAAGACGTTTGATAACTATAAATTAAGAACTGTTACTTCCATGCATATATGGACCCGAATAAATCCAAGTAAACTTGAAATTAAACAACCGACAGACACAACCAGATTCAAAGTGCTTTAAACCTGCAGGAACATTTTTTTTAAAGAGGGTGTTGCAGTTCTTTTGTTATTTTCCCTAAATGTGTAGCAGATTAAAAGAAGAATTTTTATGTTGCAGAAACTCATATTATTTTTTTTTTCAAATGCATCAATATATAAAGCACAATGAGAAAAAAATATTTGGAAGCTGCGTATTGACTTCCAATCTGCCACAAAATGATGTGAAAATTAGTCTCACGGCAAAATATATAAGATTTTCCGTTTTTTTGAATAGGAAATCCCCATTGTTCTGAAAAAGTGCCTCCTTGAAATAAAATAATTTAGATATATACACAAAGAGGCAGGAATTTTCTTCAAAACTGCCATCTCCAATTTTTGTTTCAGAGAGGCACAATTTTGAAAAACGCAAAAATTGAATAGAAATTATTCTACAGACGAAATGCAAATTGTGTACATTGAATAACACTGGAAACAATCGTGTCCGAATTGGTCTAGTGGATATGCTGGTTGGTTACCAAATCGTACGTTTACCAGAGCCAGGGTTCGAATCCTGGAATGGATCATTTTTGCAAGAGAGAGAATGTCAAGAAGTTAAAATTAAAATTGTCATGAATAATAACTATATGCAGGATAAAATTATTTTCCTTGATATGCTGTGACTTAAAACGAATACTTTATTTAGTTTTGTCTTGGAAAATAAATTTACTGTATTGTTTAATAATTTATTTTTTACATACTGTAGCTATTGCAGTTTTGAATAATTCTGGTCTCTTTAGTTAGTAGCCAAGATTTGATTTGAAACAAATGAAATGTCTTGGATGTAGTATCAACAGTGTGATTATGGGACGCAGGTTTTATTTCATGAAAAATATTTTTGCACGATGCCTACAGTATATCTTTCAAACTACTGCTTTAGCCATTGTGATTTTTGTTGTTCCAACCTTTTTCGTGCAAAATGACGAAAGTGTTTTGCTGTATCAAGCAGGAAATACCCGCCGTAAACATAGTCCTCTACGTGCTGTATCTATATTTTGACATAACGAGGGTATTTAAGGGTATATTCGATTAAGCGACACGGGTTACACGAGTCACTAGAGTTGTAAATAAAACAACCTATCTTCGACACGGGTGATCAACTCGTGTTACGCGAGTATACTCCTCAGTTTACCTGGAGTAACAGGTAAAAAAATGGCGGGAAGTGAAGTCGAATTGTTAATGCGAAAACTGTTTCTGCATAGATTTGTCAGCGTTTGTATTAGAAATTTACAACGTAAATGAAAAAAGTCTGCATTATAATTTTGACATCCCCAGCCTTTTTTTTATTTTTCAGTTTTTAGGTCATCCTCTTGAAATTACTATTGTGTTATCATTGACAGTTTTTAATTTTTACATAAGTTTATCCAGCTTTTTTTTTAATCTGCCTATAATTGTTGTCCGAACCTCTGGAACAAAAGAACTTACGACTAAAACCATAAACTTATGTTGATTATAAATTTTTGAAAATTAAATGTTTTGGAAATTGTTACCATAGAAACATTCTTAATTCTTTTCAAGAAGAATAAAATCGCAGAATTAGATTTTGGTCTTAGGTGCAAGTTCTTTTGTAAAACGGGCCCCTTGATTCCAAAAATAGATAGTCCAATAGATGCATATTGCAATTGATTCACTAAAATTATTTATATAGATTTAACAATCGCAGCATAGATATGTCGTGTTAATTACCTTATGAAGTTAAATATTATTACTATTATTTATTTAATAATTTAGTTTTAAGATAATTACAGAATCAAATGTGAGAGCAATTTCAGTTACATGCATGTCCTACAATGTAATCTTATAAATATGGAGGTCGGGTCCCCAAAACCAACCGGTTCTTTGTTTACAATAAAATTAATGTTATAAATATATAGAAATTACCTTTTCAGGCTTTAATTACAATCGTAATAATTATTGAACAATTTCATGCGCATTTTTAAAAAAAAAATGAATTGAAATATTGAACATTATTTTTACAGACTCACAATTAAAATCCACAGTCATGTAAGACCATGAAAAACACATTAGCTCAAGTTTTCTTTCCAACCGGCGTCGCATTTTTTGTAAAAGTATATGTCTCTCACATGCTATGACTTATACCATATTAAAATGAAAAATGTCCGCTATGGTACTTTTCTGACCAATTATTATACCCCATGCAAAATGTTACGGGGGAGAGAATACAGGCACATGCATGTAGCAGCTGGTGGAAGCGCTCCCCACACCTTTTTTCCAAACATATATTTACTTAAAATCTTCATTGAAAGACCACCGATAGCTTAATCCCCCTTTTTGTTACAGTAATGCTAAGCAAGGGTGAAGTCGTCTTGTATGCATAAAATTTGGTGCTGAAGGAAGTTTGACCTACATCCCCCTCCTCTAACTAAATAGGAGTTTTGTTTTTATTTTTCTGGCTTGCCCCCCCCCCCCTAAAACGATGGCATGTCACTATTATATTTAATACATGTACTTTTGACATGTATGCATGTGAACGCATTCTTATTCTACTTTTTTTTATTTTAATAAGAGGAGGTATTGACTTGTTGAATAATATTGCAAGGAAGGATAAATAATCTATAAAATACATGTTTTATCTGTATAAAATACATTTTGTTGAACAATTAATTTCAGCTTTGAGGTCTTGTATTTACTGGAGTAATTATTTGCCATTCTTTTTTTGATAACTGGATATTGTTTCTAAATCAATTGTTTGTCCTGTTCAAACCAGATATACAGGGAATATACTGTTTTCCCCGCTATATTTATACAAACACTAAACAACACGAGATGTTTTATTTAGATCACTATAGAGTTCAATCAGTGAGCATGCGCATATTTAACACTAGTGCGACAGGGGTTGTCTTAATCGAATACACTCTTAGAGTGTATTCGATTAAGACAACCCGTGTCGCACTAGTGTTAAATATGCACATGCACACTGACTGAACTCTAGTGATCTAAATAAAACATCTCGTATCGTTTAGTGTTTGTATAAATATGGCGGGGAAAACAGTATATTCCCTGTATTTTTGGTCTTAACAGGATAAACAACTGATTAACAAACAATATCCAATTATCAAATAGAGAATAGCAGATAATTTAATACAAGACCTCAAAGCTGAATTGATTGTTCAACAAAATGTATTTTTTACAGATATAACATGTATTTTATAGATTATTTATCCTTGCAATACTATAGTATTATTTAACAAGTCAATACCTCCTCTTATTAAAATAAAAAAAAGTAGAATAAGAATGTCTTCACTTACATACATGTCAATAGTATTAAATATAATAGTGACGTGCCATCGTGTTTGAAGGGGGGGGGGGGGCAAGCCAAAGCAAAAAAAAAACGAAACTCCTATTTAGTTGGAGGAAGGGGATGTAGGTCCCACTTCCTTCAGTACCAAATTTTATTCATACAAGACGACTTGACCCTTGATTGGCTTTACTGTAACAAAAAGGGGGAGGAAGCTATCGGTGGTCTTTCAATGAAGATTTTTTGAAAGTAAAGAGATGTTTGGAAAAAAAAGTGTTGGGAGCGCTTCCACCAGCTGCTACGTGCCTGTATTCTCTCTCTATCCCTCCCCCCCCCCCCCCCCGGTAACATTTTGCAAGGGGTATAATAATTAATTGGTCAGAAAAGTACCATAGCTGACATTTTTCATTTATATAGTGTAAGTCATAGGATGTGAGAGACAAATACTTTTACAAAAAAATGTGACGTCGGTTGGAAAGAAAACTTGAACTTATGTGTTTTTCATGGTCTTACATGGCTGTGGATTTTAATTTTGAGTCTGTAAAAATAATGTTCAATATTTCAACTAAATTTTTTTGTTAAAAAACATACGCTTGAAAATGTTCAATAATTATTACGATAGTGATTAAAGGCTGAAAAGGTAATTTCTATATATACTTATAACATTTATTGTGAACAAAGAACCAGTTAGTTCTGGGGACCCAACCTCCATATTTCTAAGATTTCATTGTAAAACATTCCATATCTTTTCAAGAAGAATAAAATCGCAGAATTAATTTTGGTCTTAGGTGTAAGTTCTTTTGTAAAACGGGCCCCTTGATTTCAAAATTGTCTAATAGATGCATATTGATTCACTAAAATTATTTTTATAGATTTAACGATCGCAGCATAGATATGTCGTGTTAATTACCTTATGAAGTTAAATCATTATTATTAATAATTCAGCTATAAGATAATTACAGGATCAAATGTGAGAGAAATTTCAGTTAGTCCAGTCAATCTAACTCAAAAACACCCAAACTTCAAACAAATTGCAACAGAAGTTATTCCAGTGGAATTTTGTTATTTATAATGTGCCTTTTGATATATCAAAACTCTAGAAAAATATATTTGTCCAAACATCTTTTTTT